AGAACAATTTTGCTCTGCCCATAGCTATATTAGACCACAACAGTCACCACTGGTGGTGCCAAACCCCTCGAAGGTCGCCCAGCTTCATGGCCACTTCCCGCAACACAGAACAGGCCACCATCCGGACAACGTTGGCGGGGCGAAGCGCAGCGACCGTCTCTGTTCAGCGAGCCACGTGGCCGCGCCACCGTCAACCTTTAGGTTGGGGAGGCTTGTGGTGGGCCAATTGAACACGCCGAAAAAAAGAAGCTCTCGAAGGAGATCAGGTTGTCATCGATTCATTTGATAGATTGGGATCGCATAGGGGGGATGGGGGTGGTGGTGGTAAGGGGGAGGGAGAGGGGGTGTGGTATGTCAAGACGGATAGTGCGGTTGTGGAAGAGGGCGGTGGGCTACCGCCGATGGATCACATCTATTTTGCGACGGGGGTGGAGTCGGACTTTGCCAGGTTGCCGTTTCTGCAGACCATGCTGGAGAGCCACCCCATCGAGGGCCACGGGGGCTTTCCCTGTCTGAACGACGATCTGATGTGGGAGGATGGGGTTCCATTGTTTGTGGCCGGGCGGCTGGCGGCGCTGAAGCTGGGCCCGTCGGCTCCCAACCTCGGGGGCGCGAGGCTGGCGGCGGAGAGGATCGCGTGGGGGGTCGAGGAGGTCGTACGTAAGGGCTACGGCCTTTTCTATGGCGGCCAGGGTAGCATGTACCAGCCCGAGGAGGATGGAGAGCTCGCGGGATATACGTCGGGCGCAGGGAATATGTTTCGGAGCCTCGTCGAGGCCTCGGCATGATCAGCCCATGGGCCACGAAAGATCCTTACCATGACAGTTACACTCGCTCTCTTTTACATGGTTCGATACAAACTACACTCAATATTTGGGGCACGTCCAATCCATGGAAATGATATATTGGTTGCTAGTTAAAGAGCGACTAATTCAGTATGGGAAGCAGGCGCATGTCAAGCTACCCCTGGCCTAAGGGTGTTGGTTCATGCCCATCATCGTTGCCAATCTCCCTTCCCCCGTCATCCAATTGCGCCTTTAGCAGCAGATTTAGTGCTAAAAAAGTCAGTACCCAGCAAACTCAAAAGCCTCGGTAGAATGGAAGTGAGGCCCTGAAGGCGGGACGTGGTCAACCTACACCGCAGCTAGAGCAAGAGCAGCTGTCGCAAGAGCCAGAGGCAGTTGCAGGAGTTGCATGAGCTATAGACTCAGCCAGTCAGTATCCTTTGGGGATACGACCCAGAAGGGTTTATTCAGTCCCGGGGAGGGGACACTGGTGGGCTTACCAGGTATTGGCCATTTTGAACAAGTGGTTTGCGAACGGAAATACCGAGGCGATTGATTTTTTATGTGAGGTATAGGTAGTGGTTTGATAGACAGTTTTACGTTGTCGGGATAGTAAATATTCTGGCAAAAAGCTCAGGAGAAGGAGGGGGCCACGGGTGTTCATTAAATACACGATCTCGCCATTGCACCAGCGGTGACCAGCCTGCCTTGGCCCAACTACCCCTCCCTCCTCTTGCTCCTCTTCTTCCTCTTCCTTCTCTCCCCCGCGTCGACATGCCGTGGTACTCACGCTCAATCCACGACCGTGGGCGCCGAATGACGTCTCGTTCCACACCTTCTTTCGGGTCTTCGGCGTATCGCAACGAATCGGTTCGGAGGATTCTGTCACGGGTTCGTGGGGAACTGCAGCGCGATTGGCCGTGGGGTGGGGTTGAGGTGACTATTTCCCGTCAGTCTCCCGGCCGAGAAATGAGTGCTGCGGTGATAAGAGCGCGAAACGCGCCTGTCTGTTGGGCGGGCGGCAGCCACATGTTCAAAGGTGGAAGCGGGGTTGGGCTTGGAGGGGAAGGAGGGCGGGGGGTTCCGGCGGGAGAGGAGACGTCTGGGGCAGAGAGCAACAGCCGAGTTCAGGGCTTCTCGCTTGGTGTGTTTTTGGATAAAACAACGAGAAAAACGACGAGGAAATTGGAGCAGGTATCAACCTGCTGGGCTGGCAAAGGGCATATATGCAAAGACGGCACTGAGAACCTTGATGGTCTTGCCGGCCGATCGAACCATCAAGGTTCTCACGCTACAAAGTACCCGCATCGCGACATTGCATTTCAGGGCCAAGATTGGTTGCCGTTGGTTTGTGAAAGCCGTTTGGCGCGCTTTGCGCTGGTTCGGACTCCCAGCCAGTGGTAGTATAGACCTTGGATGAGTTGGATCCCCATGGCGGGACGAGAGTCCGAGTGTCATCATGTCCTGATATTCATGTCGCAGTGAGTTGTCCATTTTTCATTGACTCGCACCTTCCATGCTAAAGCCTCACAGGAACAGAGATATGGACTGGAGGTGATTTGAGCTGTACTTACCTAGGTATGACCTTCGATGCTTTACATTGTGTTCCATCCGAAGCCTACCTACTTGCCAAGATAGGCAGGTAATATCTGGCCTACGGCCCACCCTCTAATGCAAAGGAGTGAGTGAGCTGGATCAGTTGGTGATTCAAAAAAACCCTCATCGCCGCATGCGCCGTTTTCTCGAGACCCTAAACGAATTGGTGGCCCAAGCCAGTTGAAGGATCCCACCTAATCCCACGGCCCCAATCAGCACTCACAATAACGATCCTCTTCATCCGGACTATCACTCATACCCTCATTTCGGTCAGTGTTTCTGGACACTTGTTTCACCCGTTAATTTTCTACCTATTCCCCAGAAATCGTAGATGCTTCCCCCGTGCCATACGGGAAACTCCAGTCTACATTTAGACAGGGGTATCGGACCAGAATTCAAGAGGCAGGGTCCAGCGGCGCGATGGACCACTTCTGAAACAAAAAAAAAAAAAAAAAAAAAAAAAAAGAAATTCATAGTCCTCAAGAGGAATCTCCCCATATATTTTGCGCCCCACGATGTATTGTTTTGCTGTTGAACTCAGGCTGTAGTCTGGACCCAGGTACCTATGTTGTATGTCCGTGTCTGCTTCCCGGCTTCAACACCACAGCGGGAATGTACCTTAACCTGAACTCGAAACGCATGGCCCCACCATCTGACAGTTACGTTACCTCGATGCCAATGCTTCGATGCCTAGAGCCCAGAGGAAGCAAAGGGTCAAGTAGAAGCCACGCTCCTTCGCCGCAAATACCCCTCGGCCCCGCGGCCCCGCTGTGCTTCAAGTAGGCGGTTGTCTCTCCCCTATTGTTTCCCATTCTTTATTCTACGGCCTACAAAATTCAGGCGGGGCTCTCCCTGTTTCACTCTCGATTACCGTGGAGACATTCGAGGTGCCTGGCGAAGGGGCTATGCCGCTGTGGCCGCGGGCAGGGCAACCGTGGCGTAACTCTTATGGTTGGATTGTCTAAAAGATGGGATTTATCCACTCTCCCTTGGCTCACAAGTACTATAGAAACCATCCAAACCCATCATGATTCGTAGACAATCAAGCAAGCCCACCAACTCACCTCACCCAGATCACAAAGCAAGTTAAGCAACCTACCACGCCGGCCCCGACGCTCTCACCACCCCAAAACCGAAACCATGGCCATTCAGGTCGGAGCCTGCAGAGTCTGCGCCGAGGGCACCAACACGTTCCTCGCCAAAAACAAGAGCATCTACGCCTACAGCTCGGCGATCGGGCACAATGGCAACACCACCTTCACCATCAATATCGCCGGCGACCCACGCACAGCCAAGTACAAGTCACTCTTTTCCCACGGCCTGGGAGAAGTGCAAGGAATTTGGAGTTCCCGTACCACCTCACCCAAGCAGGGAGCGCAACATCATCTACTGCTCTAACTACAGCCTACCGGCCGGCGTAATCGATGGTAAAATCAGAGATTGGGACGGATGGGCATGGGGTGTGGAAGAACAGCGGGATGGGTTTGGAAGCAGTGAGTGTATAGATAGGTAGTCTGAGATAGATGGGAAATCGGTCAAAGTTTACCCCGGTTCAACTTGCATTTCTTTGTGTTTGTCTGCTGTATTCGCAATTCAAATCTGTTTTGTTAATCAATATATTTTTGGTCTGTAAAAACTTATATTTTAGTAGTAACAATTAATATTATTATTATTATTATTCATACTCCGCTATGCCCTAAGGCGTGCCGGACCCTCAGCTATTTAACGTATAGGAAAACCGCGCCCTCGCGGGCCGGATGAAAAACCCATACCGACAGTTAAGGAAAGTACATGTGCGTGAGCCTGCGTATACAAAGAGAGGAGGCCTCCTGGCCTCCGAGGGAGGTGCGTGCTAGGCCGCCGCTTCCAGCTCAAGCCTCCTGGCCAAACTGAACATCATCAGCCTCCCTGAGTCCATTAGCCATTCCAGGACCCTCCCCGCGAGCCGTGCCGATGTAGGATCAATACCGTGTAGAACAGAGTAAAAGTCCCGTCGCGTTCGAATATCAGTTCTCTCCCATCTTCGAGTCAGCGGTGGAGCCAAACACCACACCACCAGGTGTTCGGCAGTCTCCCGTCCCTCGCCGCACTGGCAGGCGGGCGTTAGGACCTCTGGGACTCCCCGTGTAAACAGAAAGTCCCGTAGGCCTACTGCCCCTGTCCGGATCTGGACCAGCAGAGAGCTCTTCGCCTTGCTCAGGCCGTCGTGTCGTCTTAGGGTTTCGTCCCGAAACAGCGTCTCCCGCTGATGGTCAAGGTCGTCCGCCGGTCTGATGACTGCTCTGCCGTCTCGTTCCTTCAGCCACCTCGCTCTCCAGGCGTCCTCTACCACACTGTCCGTGTCTGCGGCTCCCCCCGTCCAGCGCGCGATCGTGCTCGCGGTTTTCTCCACTGCCGTGGGCTCCTGCAGTCCCACGGTTCGCGGCCGGCCTCTGTTGCCGCTCCTCGGGCGGAGCCTCTGCTGTATCTTGCGACAGGCAGTGAGAATGATGCCCCCTGCGGTCCTCTTGCCGCCCTGGCCGTCGTCCAGGTCGGTTCGCTGGAGTCTGTTTTCAAAGTCTGCAAGCCGTTTGTTGAAATACAGGTCTAACGGTGGCACCCACGTCTCGTCTCGAGGTTGCGAATGGGAGTGGCTTTGAAGGCTCCCGCCACAATCCGCAAGCTCTGTTCTGGACCTTCCCGAGGGCCCCAGGTGATGCCTTTCTTTACCGGCTCGCCTTCCACGTCCGTGGGGATGTGAAACGACGATGCGCCATAGGCCAGCGCTGACCGGATGCACTTTGTGTACACTTCTCGCGCTTTGGCTAGCCCTGGTCCCCACGTTTTCGCCGCTATCCTCGACAGTGCGTAGCTCTGGGTCTTCATTTTCTTTTCCACCGCCGCAAGGTGGGCTTTCCAGTTGAGCTTCCGGTCCAGCCAGACTCCTAGGAACCTGGCAGACTCCGTCGGCCTGACGGGGCTGGTGCCCCCCCCTGGGTTTGTGAGGTTTAGCTCGTTTGTCCACTGCCGTCGTCCCTTGTTGAAATGGATGAGCTCGCTCTTTTCCGGGGCAAACTTCATCCCCCGACTGTCGGCTCCACATCTGTAGACACGTTTCCCACGCCGCCTCTAGGAGTTGCCGGACGTTAGCCTCGGGGTTACGACCAAATACCATGAGGTTGGTCGTCCGCAAACCCCGCTATAGCCAAGTGAGGGTGTTCGTCTTTTAGCTGCTTGTATAGTGAGGAAATGTAGAGGATGAAGAGGACAGTGGAAAGGGGTGAGCCTTGGGGGACCCCTGCCCGAACTGCCGTCGGTGCCGCTGCCTTGCCGTCAAAAAGGAGGATGGCCTCGCGGCCCGTCAACCAGTCTTTAGTCCAGAGGACTAGCCACCTCGGGTAGCCCATTTCCCGCAGCGTTGCTAGCAATCGGGGTGTGGTTGACCGTGTCAAAGGCTCCTGAAATGTCAAGTTGCAGTAGGGACGCCGCGGCCTTCTGTCTCCACGCCTCCTGGACCTGGGCTACTACTAGCCGGACAGCCAGCTCTGTGGAGCGGTGTGCCCCGTTCCCCATTTGTTCATCTGGTAGGAGGCCGTTGACTTCTGCAGCTTGAGTGACCTTTTTGGCGACCACTGACTCTATTACCTTCCCTAGGGTTGGCAGCAGCGCAATGGGCCTATATCCCCCCGGGAGTCTGATACACTGGCGGTGCCTTTCCCGGTTTCGGCAGTACTACGGTCCTTGCCCTTTTAAAGCGGTTGGGAAACCATCCCAGTTCCAGGCATCTCGTCACTAATACGGCGAGCACTTCAGCCAGTGATGTTTCCACACGCCTTACAGAAGACCCATCGGCAGCAGGTCCTTCCCCTGGCGCCTTCCAGGGGGCTTGCTCCTCCTATTGCCTTCGTGACCCTCGGTCGGTGTCACTGCCTGAGAGACGTCCGAAGCCCGGGTTCCAGCTGCCCTAGGAAGGCTTGGATCTTCCACGTCCGTTAGGTTGGCCGGAGGGTCCGGGAAGAACCTCTCGGCTAGTGCGCTGGCCTTCTGGTCATGCGTTTCGGCTGTTACCCGCCCGGACGAGTCCTTAAATGCCGGTAGCCTCGGTGGTTCGGGCGGTAAAAAGCTCCGTAGCCTAGCCCATCTTTCCAGTCTCCAGATCCGGTCAGGCTTCTCTGCCTCGCTTGCGTCCTGCAGATTGTTCCTCCAAGCCCTCGTCCGCGCTTCACGTGTTATCCTGGCAAGGTCCCTGAGCCTCTCGCCAAGCTCCTCCCAACAGTACTCTGCCCGAGTCTCCTTCGCCAGCCTCTCTGCCCTCCGGGCCTCCCGGGCGGCCTGTTGCACCTCCGCAGTCCACCAAGGAGAGCTATAGCCGCAGCTCCCCTTCTTCCGCGGAGTAGCTTTCCCCTGCGACCCAGGTGAGCCACTCAACCAGGCTGTCGAAAGCTCTGTCAAGGCCCTCGACTGTTCGGATCCTGGCCAGTAGCCCGTTCGGTCCCGGGTCTGTGAGTCCCATAGCCTTGCACAGTAGCGTTGATTCAGCCTTCACCCTCTCCTTGTCCATCTTCTTCCAGGCCCAGCCGTCTGGGTTGGGTTGGGCCTCGGCCCATGCCCTCCCCCGACCTCGAGCACCTGTGGGGTAGTGGTCCGACTTTCCACGACACTCTTCTCCGTAGTATACTGTTTTGGAAGTCTTCTGACGTCCAGAAGTGGTCGATGGTTGACGGGCGGCCTCGCTGCCGCCCTTGAGGGGCTCGCGTTGCCGCCCCCTTTGGCGTCCTGATGGTGAGGTCCCACAGGGAACTCAGCTTCAATAGGTCTTCGGATTTCCTGTCGTAGCGTCCAAACTCGTCCCATAGTGGGTGCTTTAGGTTGAAGTCCCCTGCTAGCACCACCGGGTGGCTCGGCCTTGGCCGCCCCTGGAGGGCTCTCGGCACGTTCTCACCGCCGGGAGGGTTGTAGATGGACCAAAGCTCGAATCCGCGACCTTCTCCGCCTAGGTCCGCCTCTAGAAACCACACGCGACACCAATTCTCCGTGGCTTCGGAGTCCCACTGCCTGATTTCAAACCTTTTGCTTACATATATCGCCGCCCGCCCCTCGAGTTTGTATACCAGGTGGTATCTGCTGCCCCGGGGGCAGTATGTGGACTTCGTTTCCTTGTTGATCCACGGTTCTTGCACCGCCAGGAGGTCGTATTTGGCCTCTTCCAGCAAAACTTCCAGTGTTTGCTTGATTCCTTCGGTGTTCCAGAGTAGGATTTTAATTTTCATCGCCTGCGACGGTGATCGAGTCCATCGTAGTGTCTCCCTCAGCGTCGCGGCGCTTCAGGGTGGCAGTAGCCGGGGGGTTAGCGGAGGCGGCAGGCGTTGGTCCAGTGGCCGGCTCGGGCGCTCGGGACGGCGGGGCGGCGGTGTCGACACCGCTGACTATCGGGCTTGCGAATCGCACCCTCGGCACCCCGAAGTTGATCCTGGTCTGATGGGGGTCTGAGAGAGCCTGGCGCTGGGCTGCAGCCACACTCGGCGGTCTCCCTCTCAACCTCTTTCTGCCTACTACTGATAGCTTTCGTCGTCCCTCTCGTCGCCCTCGAAGTTAAACGCTGGGGCAGCTCGTGGGAGCCATGGCTGGTAGAGTTCGTGGCTGCGGTTTCGTATGTCCGTGGTCGGAACTGGTAGGCCTCCTTGGTCTTGGCGAGGGTCTTCGACTTCTCTGGACACTCTCCCGACCACGCCGGATGCTCTTCTTCCGCAGGCTGGGCATCG